GGGGGCTGGCAGGGCCCCCAAAGCTGCTCTACCTGCCTCGGACCCGGGCCATCTTGAGCGCGGGCGGGAGCAGCCTGACAGCGCAAAGCCCCGGGAACTCAGTAAATTTCGTTAAAGGGGAGCTGAGGCTTCTGCTTTAACTGCGGTACCTCAAAAACAGGGGTAGGGGTGGGGGATTAATTTCTAATTCTAACCAGATTCAGCCCAGTAGGTCCCCTGCTCCCAAGTGCTAGGAGGGAAAGGGGAGAAGGAGGTGGCTTTGGAAGGGGTTACATCTCTCCCCTGTGCCTTACCCGCAGTGCACAAAAAGCCAAACGTGTTTGCTCCATTATTCTATCCGATATCGGTAAGAAGGGACTTTTTCTCTGGAGCGTTCTTGAAATGCCTCTGTTTCTGTTTTGGTTTTTCCAAGACTATTGAGATTACTTAAATTCCCTAAAATACTTGCTCAAATGTGGAAGCCTATTTTGCATTCAGATCACAAAGGCATGCTGAAAATTATTTTTCCTTTAATTTAACGCAACAGAGATGGCTTCCTCTTCCCCTTCAGCCCTTCCCCATCCCCCCACAAGCGTTCATATGGAAAGCCTCACACTTGGCGGGAGGGGAAAGAAATGGATTAAGAAGAACTGTTTCCCCATATCTATCAATGCCAGCGTCCTTTTCTTCCACCCATTTAACATGCTTGTGTTACTATATTTCATCTTAAATCATTGTTTAATGGTCTCTGCCTTCCCTTGTAATTTACATGTACAAGTGAGCATACATACAATTTCCGTGCACCACCCCCCCCTCCCCTGCCATTGCAAGATATCTGGCTATATCAGTAGCATTGCCTCTGGCCTTGGATGCAAGCCCTTCTGGTGGCTCTGGCCTGGCCATCCCAATATGACCTGCCTGGGCACTCTGGGCCACAGGAACGGCTTTCACCAATGTCCCTTGCAGGGACTCAGAATATCCTGAGTGTACTGCTTGCGTTTAGGGCAAGAAGTAAAGTCAATGGTGTATCTAAAAGTAATCTATATTTGGAGGAATGGAGACAATGTAAACGATCTCTGTCAGTTTTCTCAGCCCAAATATATGCGGCATAAGCCTCTTATTTTGAGAGGATCTCACGTAGATTTAGTGTGTGGCTACTCAAATTCTTAAATTCTTAGTTGTCTATGTTTTAGGCGCTAGAGGGTCAGTTAAAATTCATGCTTGCAGAAGGAAGACACAATCATTTCTTTAAAAGAAAAAAAAAAAGGATTGTTTATGTAGCCTTGTATTAATGCTGCTGCTGTTGTTGTTGCAGGATACAAGCAAAATAACGAAAGCAAACCTTGATCATTCTTTCAAAATGAAATGTGATTTTAATTATACCTCTCTTCACACTGGAGTCATGTCGTCAAAGTCTGCCGTGGAAAAAATAAGACTGGAAGAATCCTGCCCCTCAAGTTATGAGGAAAGGTTTTGTAAAGACTGTGCTGAAGAGCATCAGAAAGTATTCCTTAGTGAATCATACCATGCAGTCCCCAGAAATCTAGATCTTGAAGATGAAGGAAGGCCTGTACATAACAAAGAAAACAAACAAGTAACCCAGAGACTTGATGAAGGTGTCTATGAAATGGAGGCCCTGGAAAATAGTAAATTTAATGATGACAGTGGTTACTCCTCTATGTTAAGCAATCAATACAGTGATTCAGTAGAGCATGAGGATAGTATACCCTTGGCTGGAAATCTCTGTGCCACACCAAAGCATTGTCTCATGAAGAACCAAAACCAAGTACCGTTTTCAAAGAAGACTTTGTTGCCAGTAATCCATTATGAAGAAATGATTTGCTCAACTTTGAAAAAAAGTGGTAAAAGAAATCTCAAGTCTTGGACTTCAATAGACAGGATTGTTTTTAGGGGAAAGTTTGAACTTCATAACCTAATTGGAAAGAAAATGGGGTTAGACAGAATAGACGTTCTTGCCGAACTCTTCCAAAAGAACCTGAAGCATATATTAGCAAACATCTTAAAGCATCTTGATGAGATGGATTTAATAAAGTAAGTATATTGATCTTCCAGGTATTTTACTGGAAAAGCAAACAACCTAATCGGATGGCTTAAGAATATTTTAGGCATGAGGCTTGAAACATTTGCTCAATGGTTAGTAAATTATTAAGTTATCACCTAACTGCACAATTGTTCCTGCTGTTGAATAATACGTTTTCCCCCTCTCTTAGAAGGTAACTGACATGTCTGTATTTTCGTTACAGTGTTGCCAAAGTTAGCACAACGTGGAAGAAGATTCTACATGAAGATAAATGGGCTTTCCAAACATATAGTAAAGCTGTGAAAAACATTTCTGTAAGTTTCTGCACTTGCTGGATATGTTAAGCCTAAGTTAGTGGTGTCTGTTATTTCAGGATTACTTGTAGCCTTAAGCGATCACGAGAGATCTTTGGTTGGAAACAGTTTCATTGGAGTGTTTGAATTTGTCCAGTTAGGATGCCCAAGCTCAATTATTGCTAATCACTTCATCTTTAGTGCCTTGACTGTTTTTGGAGTCCAAAGATGAGTGACTGAGAAGGTTACCCAAGATGATGTTCTTAGGGGCTTGCGCATGTCCTGTATGACAAAGGAAAAAGAGTATCAGTTCCAGCACTGATTCTTGGGTAAGCCATGGGCCATCTCAGCAGATGGCTTGCTAACTTCAGCATGGCCACTCATCCAGAAGGGAGAAAGAGTGAGAGAAACTAGCCAGCCAACAGGGAGACTCAGATCCTCTGTTTGTGCTTTCCAGCAGCAGTCTCTGAAGTGCAATGTCAGCTACAGAAAATTGAAAAGCCTTTGCATATAAGCCACTCCTAATACCCAGCATATTTGTTATATGAAATAATAAAAGGAGATCCAACTACACTAGCATTACACTTATCACGACAGGACTCTTCTAAAACACTAAGAGTTTCTCTCTTGAGATGGAAAGACAATGAAACCAGACAGAGAATCTGCCACAGGGTATGGTCACTAACTTCAACTTTAGATAGTGCTTTATGATACTAGTCTGGGGTGAAACAGCTGGACACCACTGATGTGAACATTCATCCTGTTAAGTTCGATTCCTTTCTACCACTGTGCATTCTGTTTAACTTGGAAGTGCACGTTTGGAAAATTAGGGGAGGAGGAGGAATTGACTCCTCAGAAGGAAAAGCTGTAAGCATTCCTGTTCACTATAAAGAATTAGAAATTTTGCTTTGCGCTTTAAAACACTGGAGTGACTAAACTGCGTGCTCTGTCTAAATAATTACAATGTGTTAATATGAAAGCAAAGTTCATTATATAATAGAAAATGATTTGTTCTAGTGGTCTGAAACTGGGCTATTTTCTATATGTTTACTATAGTAGTTAGCTGAGAAAGCTAAGAAAAAATTGGTAGCATACTACCTGCTATGACACTTAATTACTGGAAACCGCCAGAGGAGGAATCAAAGATAAATTGTTAGCTCATACTAAACAAAAAGTCATTTCATATTCTATAAATGGTTAGAAGATCTGACTCTTGAATTTTATTTGTGTTTTCCTTTTTATTAGGATGGCAGTAAAACATCAGAGCATGCTGCAACAAGGGAATATGTTCTCTACCGAGCAGCTTTAGCTTCTGTTCAGAAAGCTACCCCACCAAAAAACTTGAGTAAAAAAGGCACCAGATCCAAAGCATCTAAGAATCATAGCAGGCTCATGGAGTTTTCTGAGGTAACTGCTGTTTTCGTTCATCTTTAACTACTCGCATGTTAGCAGGCACATTATCAGCTTGTAAAAGATATTTCTAAAAGTAGTATCTTCAGCTTGAAGCACTTAAAATTCTTATATGTGTGGCTACCAGATTTTGCTTATTGAGCTAATTTTAAGAAACTATCAACAACTAACTGGAGAATAGTAATACACTGGGATGTTACACAGCTTTTTTCCCCTGAGTGCTTAGGTATCATCAAAATGAGGTAGTGATTTTTTTTTTTTTTTTTGCTTAAATTTTGTCATGGATCAGACCTGAAAAAGCTTAGTCATTTCCTCTTCATTTCCGTGGGCTTATGATGAATTTGGTGCTTTTGAGATATACAATCCTCCCTCCAAGCTGTCAATTTTGCTTCAACACTGGTCAATTTCTATTTTCAAAAAGGCCAAAGACTACATAGTTTTGAAAACTGAAATGAATATCCCCTTGTTCATGTTATGCTTTTTTCAAGTAATTTCTGAAATTGAAATGGCTTTTTTAACTACAAATGTGTCCCAGATTTGAAGTTTTAATTCAGATTTTTGCTTGGTCAACAACTGTTAATAACACAATTTTTTAAATGGAGACTTTGTCGTTCAAAGAATTTATAATTTTCTAATCTTTGCTATAGACCAAAGTGCTATGGTTGCAACTGTCACAGAGAAGTTGTTAGGTTTAGAAACTGATTTCATCAAGGTGCACTGCTCTGTAGAATTAGAAACACTGGAAGTGTGGCTCTCCCTTCACCTTGTTATTTTTCTTAAACGTTTTTTCAAATCTAGGTGCAGCTCTATATTGCAAGGGTATTACAAGACTTTTTAAAATGTCAGTTGAAAGTCATTGTTAACAAGCAAGGGATGTTCCTAACTAGCAAAGCAGTTGTTACACTCAAGCTCAAAAATCATACTTTGCAAATTGGTTAGACGAAAGATACAAAGTCAATTTAGAAGTGGCCTCACATTTTCATTTTGTAGTAACCTTTTAAAACAAACAAGACAGACCATCAAGCAGGAAAGTAAGATCAAGCTGTTCTAGAACAAATATACAGTACTTTGTAGCATTACAAATCTGAAAATGCAACTGTAAACTAAAGTAGCAGTCTCAATTTTTGTTGCCATGATAAAAATATATATATGTGTGTGTGTATGCCCATGCACACATTTAAATTATGAAAAGATTTTGTGTTTAACAATTGAGTATAATATAATATACAGCTCTATAATTTTCAAATGCCAAATAAATTTGGATGGATCCATTTTTGTGTCATTTTTGTGTAATTTGAAATACTTAAAAATTGTTTCTGATGACACAATTTTTAAAAATCTTAAATTAAAACAGCTAACTAAATTCCCATCCTTGCATGAGGTTTGGAGAATTCAGGAGTTAGATCTATGTTACTTTTCTTACTGCTTTATATTTAGTCTGGCTAGCCAGTGTTTTAGTCATCTATGACTGTACAAACAGTAAGACTTTTAAATGGGTTACCTCTAGTCCAGTATAAAATATCTGTGGTTATAGACTAATTACTCAATCTCCATCAGAATTTGATAAAAACAGAATTACACTGAACTTGTAATAACTTTTCTCCTACTCTAGAGAAATTAAATGTACAATGTGTTCTGTGGTAGTTAAATAACTTCAGGGAATGTTTGGGGCATCCGTTGATCTTTCGCTGATGACTTTGTACTTTTCCAACAGGCCGCCAAGACTTTGAAAAACACTGAAAGCCTTAAAGTCTGCCATCGCTGTGGCTCACCTGCAAAGTATGACTCCTATCTACACAGAGCAATATGCAACCGTGAAAGCTGTGGCTTTGACTTTTGCACAAAGTGCATGTGCAGCTACCACAGCTCCAGTGACTGCATGAGTGGCAAACCAGTGAAACCAAACTCTAAGCTAGGGCCGCTTCCTGGGACTAAGAAAAGCAAACAGAATCTACGGCGATTGTGATCCATCCTAACACAAGTTGACAGATAAGCCATAAAAGTTCTTTCAGATATAAAGTTACCTAAGAAGAAAACCAAACATGAAAATGCTTCCTGCTACTCTATATTCAAAAAACAAAAAAAGTTAATGTAATGTTTGGTCTTGTCTAAATTCCTGAGAATTTTCACAAATAGCAATTTTAAAATATTTTACTAATTAATAAGTATAAAAGAAAACTCTGGATATGGATCCTAATAACCTTTTAAATATAGTCCTGACAGTTTCTATCTGCAGTGTTGCAGTCTTCAAAAACTGCCCACAGTAATATTGAACAAAGTAAAAAAGAGTTACCTTTGGCAAGCAACTTTCCATGTGTAACATTAGCAATTCTTGACTAGCAGAAGGGGAAAGCATAAATTTTGTTTTAATTAAGTATTAGCTCTTGTTGTTCCAAAAGTCTTTTAAAGCTTTTATAGTGAAAATTTAAAGTGAGGTGGGTAAGGTCTGTTTTAACACAAAATTCTGTGAGGACTCCAGATGTTACTATTTTTTTGAGGCTTTGCCTTAATTTTAAAATGTGAAAGTTCAAAATACCATTTCATCTGCTGATTTGCCTTATGTGAATCTCTTGTTGCTGTGCCTTCATTCTTCACTCATTCAGAAGCC